AAACTGTTTGAAGCCTCAAGCTTCAATGCAAACATCTTGTTCGGCTAGAATTAGAGCACATACTACTTATGTTGGTTCATGAGAAATTTCAAAAGTGTATTTAGAACATAACCACCTGATGAGTCCCACGAAATCTAGGTTATTTCGTTGTAATAGGAAGTTGACACCACAAGTGGTGAGACGTCTTGAGATTAATGAAGTTGCGGGAATACCACTTCATAAGAGTTTTAACTCTGCTGTTGTTCAAGCAGGGGTATGATGCCCTAACTTTTATTGAAAAGGATTGTAGGAATTACATAGAAAAAGTTTAGGAACTTAGGCTAGGATGAGGTGATGCAATGGCTATCCAAGTTTTTTTTTCCTAAACTACAAGCACAATGTCCCGATTTCTTCTTTAGTGTTGATTTAGATGATGAGTCACGTTTGAGAAATGCAACTACGGGGCTTCAACCAAATGGCCCCAAGGCGTTTACCTTAACATCATCATCTGCTGCAACGTCACACAATCACTGACCAGATCCAATGCATCTATGAAAGCAGAGGATATAGAGTATTGGGCGGCAAAGTAATCTTTGATAGGAATTTGCTACCCATCAATGTGCCCTCTTTGTAAGGCTCATGCCGATGAAGTTGATCACATTTTTTATAACTGTGAGAAAATTAAACCAGTATGGAATTACTTTAGGGGAATTCTTGGTATTCCTACTTTATTCCAAACTTTCTCTATCAGGCAGGTCCTCATCTCTTGGTGGCTTAAGGCGGGTTCTAAGACTTTGGATGACATTTTTAAGCATTGTCTACCTGGTATTGTGTGCTGGCACATCTGGAAAGGCTATACCAATCTAATTTGGGGAAAGGGAGATTATGTCCCTTCCCCAAAAGGTCTTATTAGTCAAATTAAAGGGTATACTCGCATTTGGGTTAATAGTTTCTCGACTGCTAAGCTTCAGAAGATGGATAAGATACTGTTTGAGGAAAAGCTAATACCTAGCTCTTTCCAACTAGCAAAACCTATCATTCTAGCAGTCAAATGGAATAAACCGAACCAAAAGTACAAGTTGAACACAGATGCAAGATACTCATCTCAATCCGCGGCTGGCGGAGCGATTCTGAGGAACCAAGAAGGGGTGTTTGTCAGTGCTATCTTCTTCCCAGTGCAGGCGGCTTCTCCTCTAGAGGCGGAACTTCTTACAGTCTGTCGAGCTCTGTCTTGGGTTCTTAGCGAAGGCTTCTCAGATATTCAGGTGGAAGTGGACTCTTTCGAGGCTCTGAAGATGATTATTGAAGGTGGAAGAGGCAGATGGCGTGAAGAAATTAAGGAAATGATGCTCATGTCGATTGGGAAGAAGGTTTCCTATTCTAAAGTCTGGCGTGAGGCCAATTGGGCCGCCCATCATCTAGCGGCCCAAGGCCAGGTCCAACAGATTATTTACACTAATCTTTCTTCACTACCAGCCCGTGCAAGAAATACATATTATATGGATCTTTTTGGTATTCCCACTCTTAGAATCATGAGTTAGCTTTCTTCCTCTTTATTGATTTTGCAATGGGTCACGACTAGTCCCCCCATTGTGTTTTACTCTTTGTCTCCAGTATGTGTTAATTCTTTCTACTTCCCTACTGCTGTATTTTGAGGAGGTATGCCTTCTCGGAGAGGTTTGGTTTGGCCCCCCTCTCTCTTTTGTATTTTGCTTTTATCGAATAAAACATTGTCCCCGGCAAAAAAAAAAAAATAGGAATTTGCAATTCCAGTATGAAAGTATTCACACAGACATTTCTCAAACAAACACACATCTCATGTGCACTGACACTAAGAGTTTATATACTACAAGGAGGTAAAAAATTGTGCAAACAATATTTCTAAGAACAACATACCATACATCTCAAAAAGCACAAGACAGACAACAAATAGGAGTTCATCATGGTAAAAAATCATGACCACAAACATTTATAAGAAGGACAAACATCTCAGAAGCTAAGACTCTGAAATACCAATAACTAAACCCACACAGACATGTTAACTAAATCCTACACACAACTCCCAAAAATACAAACAAACAACAACCGAAATTAAGACTTTATACACTACAACATGGTAAAAAAACTTGCACTAAGACATTTTTTAAAAAGCACGACATCTAAAAAGGCATTTGTACTGGAAACTCTGAAAAGCAAACGCCAAACCCACACAGACATGTCAACAACCATCAAAATATTCCATCGGGAACCGCTCCAATTGGCGACGGCCGGACAGAGCCTCCTAAATAAGGGGTAAATTGCACTTTTTAAGTTAGTTCGAGGGCCTATTTGATCCTTAAGCCATCAAGGAAAAACAACCTTTACACATTCTTCCAAAAAAAGCCTTTGGACATTAAAAGATGGTATGTACAAAGCACTTTGGACTCGTCAAACTAGAGAAATGCTCGTTTCCTTTTCAATAAAAAAACTATGAAACTACAAAATGACAATATTGTGGAATTATATCAATATTCATCTTCATTTCACAACAGGATAATAATATCCATCAGTTGGGCGAGCGTGGTAGCTCGATTCGTTAAGCAGTGGAGAGTTAGGAATGATGAATGATATTTCATTCGTCCTTAAAGTAAACCTAGTGCAATAAAGTAAACCTAAATTTTAATAAAAACTAGGTTAACCTAAATGAACATAGGTTCATGCGTAAAATAGTGTCTGGAAATAAATAAGGTGAACCTAGGTTAATGTAATAAATGTTGTTTGGATGAATGTAATTCAGCTCATTTTATGTTATAAGAGAACTTAACCTCCAAAACCCTCCACTTCGGAGGTTCTTCATTTTTAGGTTCTTCTAGGTTCTCGGGAATTATGTGAGGTTAACCCATAACCTAGGTTTTTGTTGAAAAAATACAAACAAACAGGGTTAACTAAAAATTAAACCTGCAATAACCTAGGTTAACCCCTAAACAAACATACCATAAAACTCTATTAACTTTAATTTTTTGATGATTGTCCCACTAACTTTGTTGTTTTTCCTTTTAAATAAATAGTTTATGGTTCTAGTAAATTTTAATAGAATATTATAAGGATATTTGTTTAATTTCCTATTTTGTATTAAACTCTTTTAATATAAATAGACATGCCAGGGCTCCTATTGGAGCACCTTTTCCCAAAATATTCACATGGTATCAAGAGCCTAGGGTAATTTTTTTCTTTCTCTCGATCGTCCTCTTCTCCTAAAAATTAGCGCCGCCTCCTTTCCTTCATGGAGTCCACCGTCGACACAGTGGTCTCGCAGATTTCCTCCACCATGGAGTCTCCTTCTAGTGCGGCGCAAACCATGCCGGTCACCACAGACCCACTATCTTTCTCAGTCCCGACGTCTACCGCTGTCACCACTGGCGCCAGATTTTCTTCCACGTCGCAGCCGGAGTCTTTTTCTTCGCTACCCGGGTCGTCTTCCTCTCTATGGACGCCACCCAGCCCATATACACTCTTCCATAGTCTTCCACATCAATTTCCGTGGCAGCAAGTAGTCCCTCCAACATCGGCTTACTCTTCCTTCGGGCCTACTTCCCAACAATTACCATGGCAGCAGGCAGTCCCTCCAGTCTCGTCCGGGTCCGCATCGTCTTCTTCTTATTTTGGGCCCACGTTTGCTGGCACTCCAGGAATCATTCGACCAGCCCATGATCAACTCTTGTTCGGGTCCTCCATGGCCACGTTGGCGCAATCAGTGTCCCATGGCATTGTAATGTCAGCCAAATTGTCACTATCAAGCTCAAAGCTGTAGAAGACTACCTTACCTGGCGAACGCAGTTTGAGTCCTTCATTGTTTCACAAGTGCTTTTTGGAATGCTTGATGGATCAATTCAGATACCTCCCATGTATACGGTGAATTTTAATAATCAGCAAATCATTAATACAGATTACTATCATTGCCTTCGAGTAGACCAAACAATTCGTTCTTAGTTGTTTGCTACTCTTTCTCATGATGTATTAACTGACGTGCATGATATTAAACATTCATCCCGTATATGGGATCGCTTGCAAAAACGTTTTATGTCTGCTAGTTTACCTCGAGCAATGGAACTTAAGTGTACCTTGAATGCAATTAAAAGGAAGGAAAATCAGTCCATGGAAAATTACTTACTTGAAATTAAGAAGTTGGCAGATTCTTTGGCTACCATTAATCATCCTGTGAGTAACAAAGAATTATTGCAATGCACCTTGTATGGACTTGGACCTGAGTATGCGTCAATTGTGGGAACCATCTCTCTATTTCCTAACAATTTCCCACCAGATATTCTTCATCCTCGCTTAATGGAGGACGAGCAGCTAGCTTTGTTTCAACGGCAGCATGATTCTTCTCAGCTCCAGCCGGCCTTTATTGCTCCACAGGTTCCAGCCGGACAACAACACCCTGCCAATGGAGCTTACCACGGCAGGGGAGGCCGCGGCAGAGGTGGCCGTGGCAGAGGCGGCCGCGGCAGGGGACGGTACCAACAGCAACCGGCCTATGAGTAGCATCACGGTCAGCAGCAGGGTCCACCATACCCAGGGCAGCAACAAACCCAGTTCTTGGCCGCAGGGGGTGCACCTAATCCGAGACCTCAAAATGCCCCATCTGGTAAATCTGTTGTGCCCGCTTTAAATTTAATTCTCTTATTTCTAATAATACTTGGGATTTAGTTCCGTTTGATAATACTAAAAATGTTGTGGGCTCTAAGTGGATTTATAAGACTAAATATAATTCTGATGGATCTATTGAGCGTCACAAGGCTCGTTTGGTTGCTCAGGGTTTTAATCAACAGGCAGGTGTAGATTTTTCTGAAACCTTTAGTCCAGTTATCAAACCCACCACCGTTCGTATAGTTATTGCACTTGCTATCTCTTTTGGGTGGGTCATTCGTGAATTGGATGTTAAGAATGCATTTTTACATGGTCATCTAACTCAGGAAGTCTATATGCGTCAACCGCGGGGTTTTATTCATCCTTTGTTTCCTCATCATTTATGTCGATTGCGCAAAGCCATTTATGGCCTTAAGCAAGCCCCGCGGGCGTGGTTTCACAGATTTAGTAGCTTTCTCTTATCTCATCATTTTACATGCAGTAGGTCTGATAATTCGTTGTTTATTTTTCGCCAGAATAATAATGTCATTTATCTATTACTATATGTTGATGAAATCATTATTACTGGTAATTCTTCCGCTGCTATCACCTCTTTTATTCAGTTAGTTGCTCAACATTTTGCTATGAAAGATCTAGGAGATCTTCATTATTTTTTGGGAGTCTAGGCTGTCCGGTCACAAAAAGATTTGTTTCTATCTCAGCATAAATATGTGTCTGATCTTTTGTCTCGTTTTCATCTTCATACCCTCAAATCTGTTCGTACTCCACTTGCTACCCGCACTTCTCTATCCCTCACTGATGGTGAACTCCTTGCTGATGCTACTGAGTATCGTAGTATGGTTGGTGCGTTACAATATTTAACTTTGACACGACCTGATATTACATATGCTGTGCATTTAATGTCTCAGTTTATGCATGCCCCTCGTACCAGTCATTTGTTTGCTGTCAAGAGGATTTTTAGATACTTGCAGGGGACTCTTGATCATGGATTATGGCTTCAGCCCACATCTCGGGCTACTTGTGTTATTGCTTACTCCGATGCTGATTGGGCTGGCTGTCCAGATACTTCTCGGTCCACAACTGGCTTTGCTGTGTTCTTGGGTCCGAATCTTATATCATGGAAGTCTAAGAAGCTGCCTACTGTCTCCAAATCCTCTACGGAAGCTGAGTATAGGGCAGTTGCCTATACTGTTCAGGATACTCTTCACATTCGTTTAGTACTATACGAGCTTGGGTTTCCTGTTGCTACACCAGTTCAGCTTTTTTGTGATAATATATCTGCTTCCTATTTGACTGTTAATCCAGTACAGCATGCCCGTAGCAAGCACATTCAGATAGACTATCACTTTGTTCGGGAGCGTGTAGCTCATGGAGATTTAGTTGTGAAGTACGTTCCTACTCAGTTGCAGTTAGCTGACATTTTTACTAAAAGTCTTTCTAGTCAGCAATTTCATTTTTTAAAAGACAACCTGCGCATTGTTTCTCCCGCACAATTTGAGGGGGTGTAATAGAATATTATAAGGATATTTGTTTCCTATTTTGTATTAAACTCTTTGAATATAAATAGACAAATGCCAGGGTTCCTATTGGAGCACCTTTTCCCATAATATTCACAAATTTCTCTATTCTGCACAAATCTCAATCACACAAATTTTACTTTATTAATCTTCGAACCAGACAAATTTTACCAAATTTTAAGGAATGAAGGGAGTAATATTTTGAAAGAAAAAAATCTTTTGTACACATTTTTATACGCAATTGTGAGGAGTTTTTAGTCTGTCTCAAACAAAACATGTTTTGTCTTAACAAATAAAACGTATTTTGTCTTAGACAGACAAAATAAACTTTTCACAAACCACGTAAAAATGTGTAGAATAGTAACTTGTGCATGAATTATTGATTTTGGAATAGAACGATAGAATCATATCACCGTTCATTCTCATTTACAACGGGAACTTGCCATGACAGTATGACATTATGACCATTTTTTGAAATTCTTCTGATATGATTAGAAATCTTGACCGATATAAGATAAAAACAAAGATAGTAAATGAATAAAGTGACATTTAATGTATTGATTAAATAGTAACTGCGTTAAGTATGAATACTGTCAGACTTTGCACTAAAGTGATTGTTGGGATCATTTATTCATTTCGTCGACTGATATTGGCTTTGATTGCTGCATAAATTGGTTCCTAATATCATGCACAATAATACAATATTGAACTTCAATTATAACAGCCAACCAACTCCCTTATCACTCATTTAGAGTAACTCTCCATCCCGGCCTCTCTAATCACTCATTTAGAACGAAGCTGCGCAAAATAGGAAAGTAGAAGCAGGAGTCATGTATTTTCATTGGTATCTAGCCAAAGAGTAGGAGAGTAACACGTATACATAAAATTAAACTAGAAAATGCAAAGTTAACCGGTGGGCGTAGCTCAACTGGTAGCGAGGGAGTGGCACAAGGGTTAGGTCTCGGGTTCGAATCCCGGCAACTGCGATGAGGGGTTAATATGCTGAAAAATGCATAGGACCTCTGCAAGTACCGGGGACAGAGCCTCACTCTCAATCTGTCAGATTGTGATTATAGTCCAATTTACATCCTCCCATTGTACCGTCCGGTCGGTGTTGGGGGGCCCTCAGGGATGGAGTGTCATCCTTTTTTTTAGAAAATGCAAAGTTATAATCAACTATGTACAAAATGAAAATGGTAAATCGTTTTTAATTAGAAAAATGTACGAGTTGAATGTTTCATTTGTAGTTTAGATAAATATGCACATGTAGCAATACGATAGATTTTATTTGCTCTGTTTCTGAATCATGTCACGTAAGTAATGAGTTAATTAAATGTTATTTTTAAAATTTGGGAAAATAATCAATATTACGCATTAAATTTTGTTGATTTTACGTTTAGATTGTGCTGATTTTCCAGAAGTCATAACATTTTACTCGTAATGAGTTACGAGGGTCATAATATATCTAATCGAATATATTTCATAGCTCAATACTCTCAAACTTTCAGCGAGATGAGATTGTTGTGGATCCGTTTCTGTCTTGCCGGATTCGGCTCAGGTCGCCGGAGATCGGTTTCCGGTAGTCTCCTTGTGCACACCAAGGCTAAGGGAGCAACAACCTATTCTACCTTCTCAACACTCCTCTCACTCAGCTTCACAAAGAAGGAGTTCTCACAGTCTATATCAAAAAACTTCAAGAGGTGGTGGATATATACAGCTAGAGCAAGGAAGGAGCAACTGTCGGTAGAGAACAATAGCACATGAAGTAGGATGCAGGGAAGTCTCATAATAAAGAAGATTTGGCTTATTAGCTCAAGGGATTGGACGGTGCAAGGGACAACACAATCACACACCTCACTTATTTGATCTCACTTATTTGAGTTCAAATTCAAACGGGAGAAATAGACTTGGTACAAAACAAGTTTGGTAACTGGAGTAAGAGTAGTGGGTTGCTGAATAGGTTGTCAACTATTATTAATATACAAAGGCTATTTGGGCCAATAATATATTAACAATCTCCACCTTTGGCCCAAGGTAGTGCACTGAGACAATTCACGGAACCGCGGACTCATCATCGCCGAATTATTACAAGTATTATCGCAAAGATTATACAAGTAATATAAGAGAATACCCCATGTATTCTCGGATCACAAAGGGGCCAACACACCAAGCTTGCCGAGTCCATAAAGGACTTTACTCTACCATAATGGTCATCGAGTTCGAAGGGACACCAACACCAAACTATTAACAAACACTAGGTAAGTTAATAGTAAACCGATGCAACACAGAAAAAATTCATCCAAAATCAAAATTTAAAATCTTTTGACACGAAACAAATTTTTCAACAGGTAAACATTTAGTACCCATGTCAGCAGGATTAAATTCTGAAGGAATTTTCTCTAATTTTATAATTCCCTTTTCAACAATATCTCGAATATAATGAAATTTAACATCAATATGCTTAGTCCTATCATGGAAAACAGGATTTTTACACAATTGAATAGCAGATTGACTGTCAGAAAATATAACCACATTTTTGTCAAGAAAATTAATTTCATGCAAAAGACCTCTAAGCCAAATAGCTTCTTTGAAAGCTTCTGTGGCAGCTACATACTCAGACTCAGTAGTAGATAGAGCAACAATAGGTTGAAGTTGGGATTTCCAACTTACACAAGAGCCACACAAAGTAAACACATAAGAAGTTGTAGACTTTCTATTATCTCTATCATTAGCATAATTGGAATCAACATAGCCAATTAATTTAACACCTTCAGAGCACTTAGAAAAAGTCAAACCAACATCCACAGAATATTTCAAATACCTTAAAAGCCATTTCAAAGCATTCCAATGAGGCATTCCAGGATTAGACATGTATCTACTTAAACAACTAACCGCATATGCAATGTCGGGCCTAGTACTAACCATGAGATACATGACAGATCCTATAGCATTCGAATAAGGCACATTTTTCATTTCATTCATTTCAGTTTCAGTCTTGGGGGACTGATCCTTACTTAACACAAAATGAGAAGCAAGAGGCACATTCACAGATTTAGCACCAGACATAGAAAATTTACTCAAAACCTTATCAATGTATGATCTTTGATTTAACACTAGAGTAGATTTCTTTCTATCCCTGATGATGCTTATGCCTAAAATTTTCCTAGCATCGCCTAAGTCTTTCATGTCAAAGTTTTCACAAAGAGATTTTTGGACATGCTCAATAGACTTCAAACAAGGACTAACAATTAACATGTCATCCACATAGAGTAATAAAAATATAGGCGTGGAGTCAATATTTTTATAATACAAACAATGATCGGCGGAGCTTTTAGAAAATTTTAAAGATTGCATGCACTTGTCAAATTTAATATTCCATTGCCTAGGTGATTGTTTTAAACCATACAAAGCTTTTTTCAATAAACACACATGGTCAGGCAATTTAGGGTCAACAAAACCCTCAGGTTGGTGCATATAAATATTCTTATCAAGATCACCATGCAAAAAAGCAGTAGTTACATCCATCTGTTTTAATTCCCAATTAAAATGAGCAACTAAAGCAAGTATAATTCTAATGGTGGTGAACTTGACAACAGGAGCAAAAATTTCAGCATAATCAATTCCCTCCTTTTGAGTAAATCCCTTAGCTACTAATCTAGCTTTAAACCTCACATTTTCAGATTCTTGCTTCACCTTAAATAGCCACTTACAATCCACTAAGGAACAACTAGCGGGTCTAGGAACAAGTTTCCAAGTTTGGTTAATTTTAAGGGATTCCATTTCACTATTCATAGCACTAATCCATTCTTTGGAATATTTAGACTTTAAAGCCTCTTTAAAAGTCCTAGGTTCATTGCATTCAAGGGATTCAAATATGTTAAAGGCAAACTCAGATATATCACAATTAATCAAATTGCAATCCCTATATCTTTCTGGTTTCCTAATAACCCTTCTATCTCTATCCCTAGCAAGTTGATAGTCATGCAAATCATCATTTTCAGAAAAAACATTCTCATCATGAATATCATGCTCCACCTCATTCGAAGTACTCTCACCTTGATTTTCAAGAACATTTTCATGCAAATCATTTTTAGCAGAAAATTCAGATTGAAATTTAACAGGAACTTGCTCCACCTCATTAGGAGCATCATTATGAGGAACATGCACAGGTAAAGTCAAACAAGGAAATTCATTTTCATTAAAAATGACATCTCTACTTATAACTACTTTAAACCCTGGTTCACTCCTATCCCAAAGCCTATAACCCTTTACCCCTTCTGGGTACCCTAAGAAAACACACTTCTTAGATCTAGGTTCCAATTTATCAATCTTTTGATGCACATAACCCGCACATCCAAACACTCTTAAGTTCGTCAAATCAAGCTTCTTGCCCGTGAAAACAGATTCTGGGCACTTCCCTCCTAAGGGGACAGACGGGGACCTATTAATTAAATAAGCAGCGGTATTAAGCGTTTCCCCCCAAAATTTCTTAGAGAGACCAGATGTGGCCAACATGGCCCGCACCCTCTCTAAGAGAGATCTATTCATCCTTTCAGCAACCCCATTCTGTTGGGGTGTGTAAGGAACAGATTTATGTCTTTTTATACCCCAAGTAGCACACAAATCATTCATTTGTTTATTACAAAACTCAAGTCCATTGTCTGTCCTAAGGGCTTTAATTTTCTTTCCTGTTTGGTTTTCTATCATGATTTTCCAGTTTTTAAATTTTTCAAAAACTTCAGATTTTTGTTTCATGAGCAAAACCCAAACTTTCCTAGAATAATCATCAATAATGGAAAGAAAATATTGATTCCCTCCTTGCGTAGGAACACTAGAGGGACCCCACACATCAGCATGCAAATACTCAAGTATGTCAACACACTTAGATTGATTAGGAAAAGTAGAAATAGGGAAGCTAACCCTATGTTGTTTTCCTAACACGCATGATTCACAAAATTCAATAGGGGATAATTTATCACTACCAAAGTGACCATTTTTATGCAAAATATCTAATCCCTTATTACTCATGTGACCTAATCTATTATGCCATAAAATAGATTTATCACCTATCACAGAGTACACATAATCAGGTACAGGTTCAGCTTGACACACATACAAGTTATTTTTCTTTTCAGCAGTAAAAATAACAAGAGATCCTTTCATGATTTTCATAACCCCTTTCCCCCATTTTCCCTCAAAACCTTCATTTTCAAGGGATGCACATGAAAGCAAATTATAACGTAAATCAGGAACATGCCTAACATCTTTCAAAGTGAACACAGAGCCAGAAGAAAATCTAAGGCATACATCACCAGTTCCTAACACGTTGCATTTCTTTTCATTAGCCATAGACACATAGCCATTTTCAATTTTCTTATAATTTGAAAAAAGATTTTCAAAGGGAGTCATATGAAAAGTACAACCGGAGTCAACTAACCAATCAGATTCACATAGGGAATTAGAAAGCACAGAATTAACACATGCATGATCACAAAGATTATTAACCATAAAAATATCACCCATTTTTTCTTCACCAAAAGCCACATTAGCATGTTCATTATGCTGATTTTTCTTAGGCTTAGGACAGTCCTTAATGAAGTGACCAAATTCATGGCAATTATAGCATTTTCTGGCCTTAGATCTAGACTTAGATCTACCCTTCCTATTCGCAGAATTCTTCCTAAAACTTGATTCTCCATTACTAGCATAATTTTTGTTATGAGACCTATTCTGAGGTCTACCCCTAACATGCATCACCTCACCCGAATTCTTACTTCCCCTAGATTGCTTTAAATCTAATTCTTTGCTTTTGAGACCATTAACAACAATATCTAGAGTTATATTATCTCTACCATATTTAATGGCAGATTTAACATCACTATAAGAATCAGGTATGGCATTCAATAAAGCAATGGGAGTATAATCATCTATGTGTTTGTCACCGGACAACTTAATATCGGAAATAAGTTTTGTGAAAACATCAAGATTTTCTTCAATATCTTTAGACATGTCAAGTCTAAATTTGAAAAATTTTTCAAGTAAGAACATTCTACTCGGTAGAGAGGTTTCAGTATAAAGCTCTTCAAGTTTATCCCACAAAGATTTGGCAGATTCTAAAATTCCTACTTTTCTGAGCACACAATCAGATAAGTTCAAGTAAATTATAGAACACGCACTTTCATTCATTTCTGCCTTTTTCTCTTCCGTATCGGAAGTCAAATAGGTTTGACTAATTGCCCTATATGATTTTTGTTGAATTAATATGCATTTTATTTTCTGTTTCCATATGCTAAAATCAGTTTTTCCATTAAATGGAGCCATTCCGTACTGATTAAATGCAGACATTTTCACACAGAAAAATTAACACAAAAAATAAAAAATGCAACTATAGCTAGAAAAACAGTTCAATATTTATAGGGCTAAACAGTAGCACAAATAAATATAATTCTAGCAAGTATTAAATCAACAATAAATTTTAACAGTTTAAATTAAATGAAAAACAGTAAATGAAATTTCATTTAAGAAAACTTACAGTAGCCAAACACTAGGAGAGTGTTTGGACCTTACCCACCCACAAAAGGGATTTTGGAAGTTGACTGAATTTTTGACCAAGTCTAGCCAGAAAGCTCCTGCTTGAACTCCTCTGCTTCTGTGCCAGCTCCAGCAGTCCAGCCTTCGGCCAGCAATTAGTCCAGCAACCCCACACGGCCAGCTTTGACCAGCCCCAAACAAAAAAAAACACTTCCAGCCCAAAAACAATCCACTGCTTCCTATTTTTTTTTCTTCTTCTCCTGCTTCAAGTATTCTAGCGTCAACAACACGCTCCAGCCCAACACCTCCACAATTGCAGACCTGCGTTCCACAAACCAGCTCGCAGACGGCAGCTCCTATGGACCAACGACGAACAGAGAACGGAGAGAACAACTCTCAGGTGGCGGCTCCAGATCGCGAACCAATAACCGAGCCGTGCCTGGAAGTCCACGAACGAGTTCTGCCTCAGCGTCCAGCGAGATCTCCAGCGTGAAGTCCTCGTCCAGCTTCAGCACCTGCGGCGTTGATTCCCAGGTAGTCGGCAGCTCCAGCGGCACCTCCACCCTCGAGCTCCGGAATTGACTAACGACGGACGGGGTTGGGGCGGTAAGGTTCTAGCAGCACCAAAGAACCACGACTCAGATCTGGCAGATCTTCCAGAAGCTTCAACCGGCGGCAGACGGCGGCAGACGGCGGCGGACGGCGGCGGACGGCGGCGGACGGCGGCGGACGGCGGAATGCAGCGAAAACGTTGGCGAAGACAGCCCTTGTCTCTGATACCACTGTTGTGGATCCGTTTCTGTCTTGCCGGATTCGGCTCAGGTCGCCGGAGATCGGTTTCCGGTAGTCTCCTTGTGCACACCAAGGCTAAGGGAGCAACAACCTATTCTACCTTCTCAACACTCCTCTCACTCAGCTTCACAAAGAAGGAGTTCTCACAGTCTATATCAAAAAAATTCAAGAGGTGGTGGATATATACAGCTAGAGCAAGGAAGGAGCAACTGTCGGTAGAGAACAATAGCACATGAAGTAGGATGCAGGGAAGTCTCATAATAAAGAAGATTTGGCTTATTAGCTCAAGGGATTGGACGGTGCAAGGGACAACACAATCACACACCTCACTTATTTGATCTCACTTATTTGAGTTCAAATTCAAACGGGAGAAATAGACTTGGTACAAAACAAGTTTGGTAACTGGAGTAAGAGTAGTGGGTTGCTGAATAGGTTGTCAACTATTATTAATATACAAAGGCTATTTGGGCCAATAATATATTAACAGAGATGACCACCGTGGCCTTCTTGGATCCACCCCTTATCAAGATGGATTGACATAGATTGATCAGTAGTCAAGGATCGGATAATGATGAGTTGATAGAGAATAATTAAAGGGCTGGGCTATGGACTATGATATATAACACGAACGGGTGAAATTTGGAACAAGTAATTCAAGATCGAGTCTCGCAAGCGGTAATGTGGGGTGTTAGGGTAGCCTTTGTGTGAAATGTACATTTGTCTAACCTCTACACGTGCTCAACTGAGTCACCGTTATTTATAATCCTTTGTTTATATACTTTGTCCGGCTGGTGTGTGGGGCTCTTAAGATGAGAGATTCAACCCTTTGGAATAAGAGAAATTTGAATAAGTGGTTAGTGATGCAAACCCCTACCTCTGCAGGCTATTCAATCCTACGCTAGTGAAGGCTAAAGAATCATGAGGAATAAGTGTGGTATAGAAAGAGATGAATGGAAAGTTTAGAATGGGGCAAGAAGACAAGTGAATAGGTCGGAGCACTACATACCGGCCATGTCATGTCTCCACTAATCATATTTTGTGCTGCTTTTTCTGTCTTTGTAAGATCGAATTCAGTACAATATCTAATGCACCCTCTTCCTTTATGATTTGTCTCGGTAATGAGGAAAATATGGAACAAAAATGGATGGACGAATTAGGAATTTGGATAGAAGAATGATGAAATTGAAATGGTTCGTGGTGCCCACCACAAAGGGAGAATGATGTGATCCTTTTATTCCCACTTGAGAAGAAATTTGAGAATTGTTCAAATCAAATTTGTTTGGGAAAACTGTCAAATAGGTTCTCGAACTTTCATAAAAAAGTCAATTAAGTCCTTCTATAGAAGATTCTGTTCGGCGGTCGCGATTTAGGGCGGTTCCCGGTGGAATTTTTTGATGAAATTTTTTTAGTATCTTATTCATCAAGTCTAGTTTACTCATACCAAATTTTAGCTAAAAATTCGATCGGGAACACATTCAAATTAATTCGAGAACGCAAAAATGCGCAGTTATCTTCATGAATTAATTTGAATGTGTTCCTGATTGAATTTTAGCTGAAATTTGGTATGAGCAAACTAGACTTGATGAATACGATGCTAAAAAAATTTCATCAAAAAATTCCACCGGGAACCGCCCCAAATCGCGACGTCCGGACAGAATCTCCTATAGAAGGATTTAATTGACTTTTTTATGAAAGTTCGAGGACCTATTTGACAGTTTTCCCAATTTGTTTTAATATAGTAGTAATTCAGAGATATATTATACTCCCTCCGTCCTTTAAAACTTTGCCATCGTTCCCTTTTGGGACGTCCCAAAAAACTTTGCCACTTTCCATTTTAATCAATTATTTTGTGGTTTCTGTTATTTCTCTCTCCTCTGCACAAACCTCAACCACACATTTTTTACTTTATTATTCTCCGTGCCAGTCAACTTTGGCAAAGTTTTAAGGGACGGAGGTAGTATACATTATCAAATACTACCTCTGTCTCTAATAAAACTTCCAAATAGGTTTGACACACAGCTTAAGATAGTGAGTATTGTGTGGTGGAGAGTTGTGCAGAAGAGAGAGAAATGTGTAAGAAATGTTGTAAATCACAAATTCTTTGCCAAAAAGGGAAAGTGGGAGTTTTAATTGGGACGGATAAAAAGGGAAAATTGGAAGTTTATTTAGGGACGGAGGGATACTACGTACTATAGAACTTGGGGTTTAATTTTGGGTTTTTTACAAGAATATTACTAAAATAAAACATCTTAAAAGCTTATAATTGTCAATAAGGGTTAATACCCTTATGAGAACAAAAATGTGTTGGTGTAATAGTGTAGCTATACAGAGTTGTACGTTATTATTAAGTGATAGTACTTTTCTTGTTACCTCATTGCTCACTATCCGCGGCTCCCGTTAATTTAACTCCTATTCGTTAACTTTAGCCGCACACCGTCACGTCTCCGTCTTTGTTTCACGTATACAACCTCATATCTTCACTCAACATCTCCTTTACGTTTCAGTGCATTCAGACCTACACTACATTAGTTACGGACTTAGGGTTAATTAGATGGGACTAAGGATCCATCCAATCCATAAATCGGCGCTAGCGTTCCTCACGCGGCTTGATTCACTTCATCTTCTCCTCGCGTGTAAGTTTATAGTTTAGTTTTCTGGATTTGTCGACTTCTATCATTTTGTGCACAACGACGATTATTGATTATTGCAGGTGAGGCTTCATTCCATTCATCTTCTCTTGGCCAGATTCGATGCCAATGATTTCATTTAAAGATATCATCATTCAATTTACAACTGGAGATCCCACAATCCTCCACTCTTGCAAAAAGAAAAGGAAAAAGCGAAAGTTTGAATTTGATAATGTGATTTCTCCAGTATTCACAAGTAAGGTTTCTTAAGCTCCCTTTATTTTGTTTCTTTTACTATTTTGTTATAAAATTACACACAAGTTACTTTAATGTGTTTTGGGCTATCTGGCTCGGTTGACATGCTGGAAACTGTTGACTTATCATTCTTTAAAAAAAATACGTAGGAATCAGGAACTGAAGAAGGGGAAACTTGATAAGTCCTTTGCAGCACTATATATGTCCCCTTCTTCCTAGATAGGCTCCACAAAAACTGCATCAATTCTCCCACTTTGATTCAATTCGGTTGCTTCCTGAATATTGCCATACTCTAAGAAAGCAACTCCTGGCATAACAGGCTCAAATGGTAATCTGTGATGCAATTTGCTTGTCAAAGCTACAACACCTATAGTTCTCTCATGGAAGAAATGGGAGAATGCAATAAACTCCAAAGTTTATTGGTAGTTAAACAAAACCTGCTTGGAATAAGTATTTTGTTTAATTGGGTTCCAGTCAAGTATTTTATAAAGTTATTTCCAAATATGACTAATATTATACGGAGTATATAAGCTCTTTGTGATAATCATGATATAAAAACTGCACTAATAAATTTTTATTTGTGCAGCTAGCCAAACTTTAGCACATTTTATAGAAGAAGAGAAAATTAAGACTGACAATAATAAAGTCAATATGAAACCTCACAAATATCTTCATAAAATGCAACGAGAATAACTCATTCAAATAGGGCTTTAAATTTTATTCCAAATTCGACATCATTGTGAGAAGAAGTGTCTATAAAATAAACCTCCAAGTCAATCAGACAAAATAAAACCCCTAAGAAAAACTCACCCAAAGTTAATGATTGATGTGAAGGAATAGGCATTTGTATTGTGAGAAGAAGTGTCTTCAATTGCTGTAAACTTGTAATACAGAAGATAATGATTGATGTGAAGGAATAAAAGGAGATACCCAAAGTTGCTCCGGCTTAGGCTTTTGCACACGTTGTTACGCTGGTGATTGCGTTAATCTTCTTATGGTTGTCCTTTCTAACACCTCTGCTAACTATCTATTGTATTGTTACTTAATTCATTGTCTTTGCCATCCTAACCTTATCAAGACTTTCAAGACTGTCATTTAATCTTTACTAACCATATGGAAAACAAAGAGCCATTTTTTTATGGGTTAATTTGGATCAAGTTACTAAATGTGTGGCCACTATTAAAGAAGTTATTGAAATAAATAGATTTTATTGATAGCATAAAGAAAATAACATTTGAAAAAGGCTAAAATGGTCATCTTAAGAAATTTAAACCAAAAAGAGAAGTAGTTCCAGGCATGCTATACTTTTACATTATTAACTAATTTATTAGTCATGACCAAAGAAATTAGCCATTATTGGGCCTGATAAGTTTAAAAGAAATTTGGTGATGAGCTGATAAGTTCAAAGAGTTTACTAGGCTTATTGCCATGCAGTTACTTAGGGCCTGGTTTCAAAAAGTATAAACAATGTATACACTCCATAGTTTTTTGTTTAGATCCTGTATGTAAAGGTAACTCTCAAGTCTCAATGAAACCTTTTTCGATTAATTACATTGGATTATTTATTTATTAATCATCTCAATCCTCTATAATACTTTTGTTAGGCTGGTCCTTGCCTTTCTAATTTCGAACAAAAATGTATTACCTTTTGGCATAAAAAGTACATAGTATTTGAATTTGATATTAATCATCAGATTATGAATACACTGAATTGAATCAAAACTCTTAAAGTTAAGACAATGCTAATAAGGATATCTGTAATTGGAGTGTAATTTTATGGTCTGGTCTGATCTGGTTGAATTTGTTCTGGTCTAATCTGGTTGGAGTGTAATTTTTATGACAAGTTTATAGTCATATTTCTAATCCGGTCATATTTCTAATCTGGGCAATATGACCGCATAAAATAATTTTTAGATTAGAAAAAGCCTTTGTTGGATTTCATCGCAAGCGGTAAAACATATTTATATAAATATGACTATTCATTATTACAATGTGGTGTTGTGGTAACTTAAGCTAAAAACTTGAACATGAATTACTATGATTTCATTACTACTCTAATCACTAGTCATATTTTTGTAAATCATCTTTATTTTGATCATATTTATGTAATTATTTCTTTAATTTTTTGTTGAAGTTTTATAATATGTTCGATTTATGAAATATATGGATACATTTTTTATGAAAATTTATTTAATTGACTTAAACTTTTGAATTTTAACTTAAATTTTGTGAATATCATCTACACTTCATTAAGTGGCCGTTTGACAACACTGTTTTTCAGCTTATGAGGCTTATCAACCAATTTTTTCACCAAACACGTAACTCTTACTTTCGCGCGCTGAATTGTGTAATAAGCAAGAAAAGGGGATAAGGGTCAGTTTGGTCCTCGAAGTTGCAAAAAAGGGGTCAAATAAGTCCTTATATAGAAGATTCTGTCCGGACGTGCCATTTGAGGTTGCTCCCGGTGGAATTTTTTGATGAAATTTTTTGAGCATCTTATTCATTAAGTCTAGTTTACTCATACCAAATTTCAGATAAAAATTCAATGGGGAAGACATTCAAATGAATTCTTGAAGATAACTGTGCCGTTAAAAGCGCTGTTATCTTCAAGAATTCATTTGAATGTCTTCCCGATTGAATTTTTAGCTGAAATTTGGTATGAGTAAACTAGACTTAATGAATAAGATGCTCAAAAAAAATTATCACAAAATTCCACTGGGAGCCACCTCAAATGGCACATCCGGACAGAATCTTCTATATAAGGACTTATTTGACGCCTTTTTTGCAACTTCGAGGACCAAACTGACCCTTTACTCGCAAGAAAAGTAAGGTTGTAGTTACTTTTCTGGCTGTAT